CGACGGTCACGTGAGGCCAGCTGCATGGACCAGGAGGTGGCTGGCTGGAGCGTGGCCAGGGAGGTGGCCTGGGCCCAAGGCCAGAGGTCCCCAAGAGTGGGGCCGTGTGGAGGGACACCTGCTGTGCCCAGGCTTGCGATTCCCGACCTGACCCACGCCTCGTGCACTGATGGGTAAACTGAGGCTGGGAGGGACGAGGCCCCTGTGGGGAGGTTGGGGGCGGGGAGGTGGGCTCACTGCCTGGGCTGGTGACCAGGACTGCGCTCGCGAGCCACCGCGGAATCCCCACAAGGAACACGACGGAGCCGTGGCGCTTTGCAAAGAGCACATAAATATATTTCCGTGTGGATACGACACAATAAATAGGCGGCCGTGGCCTGCCCCGCACAGCACACGCCGTCTCACACCTGTGCCCCGACGGGACCAGCCGGGCCGAGGCTGACGCTGCGGGGACGTGCACCTGAGCCCCACTGTTTTGAGGTAAAACTTTACGGAAACTCTTCCCTTAGGCTGAGATCCCTGCTGGACGCCGGGCTGGCCGGGCTGGCAGGCTCTGTCTGCAGCCTGCAGGACGCAGAGCTACCCGATGTGGCAGCCAGGTGGTCACCGGCCTGGGGCTCTGGCACAACCTGGGGCAGGTGACCCCAACCTGGAGAGGGTGTGGAGGTGACGGACGTCCCCGCTGGAACAAGGGCCACGGACGGCCCTGCTTGGACCCCGCTGCTGCCTGCTGCTCACCGGCTGCCCCAGGCTCAGCCCGCCTGGAGGTCCCAGGCCGCCCGAGTAGGGAGCTCTGGGGTCCTGCCCGGCCTTGTTGCCCCGTTCCCGGCAGCCCGGGGCAACCTCAGCGCGTCTTCAGCCGCAGCACCCGGGACAGGGGCTCCTTGGCGCTGGAGTAGATGAGGTAGGAGCCGGCCGGGGTGTTGAAGGCCTCCCAGTCCCTGCAGCCGAAGGTGGGCAGGCTGTGCACCGCCACGAAGCCCTCGTAGCCCTGCCACCTGCGGGGACAAGCACCAGACCGTCTTCAATGCCACCTCCATATCTGCGCATTTCTGGCTAAAATCATGCCCCCTATCACATGCTGGTGGGGCCCTCCTTCCCCAGGCCTCCTTTTCAAAAACGTCTTGGCCATATTTGAACATTTATTCTTTCACATGCATTTTAAACTTATTTTGCCAAGTCGAGAAGTCTACAGCAATAAATTTCCAAGTCTAAAAGAAAATCGATGATTTTTCCAGTAAAATTCAGATGACCAAAACTGCCCCAAAAGAGATGGAAACCTGCATCTCCCAGAACCACGGCAGAGACTGGACACACTGCTCAGGGGATGCTGTGCCCTGCCTGGCCGGGCACGGCGCTGGCACCTGTGGTCCCAGCATTCCGGGAGGCCGAGGTGGGAGGATCGCTTGAGGCCAGGAGTCTGAGGTCACAGTGGGCTGTGATGATGCCACTGCACTCTAGCCAGGGCGACAGAGTGGGATTCTGTCTTGCAAACTATATAAAAATAAAAATAAAATAAAAGAGAAATAAAAAGGTACCAGGCCCAGATGGTTTTTGGGTTTTTTTGAGACAGAGTCTCACTTTGTTGCCCAGGCTGGAGTGAGTGCCATGGCATCAGCCTAGCTCACAGCAACCTCAAACTCCTGGGCTCAAGCAATCCTCTTGCCTCAGCCTCCCGAGTAGTATACATACATAATGAGTGCGATGTGCACCGTCTGAGGAATGGACACACTTGAAGCTCTAACTTAGGGGGAGGGCAGGCACACACCGTAATCTAAACATTTATACCCCATAATATGCTGAAATAAAAAAAATTTTCGGTTTGTGTAACCACCATAAAATTTAGCATCAGTCATTTTACGTGCACACTGAGTACGTTCCCAGTGCTGTGCACCGCACCCACGTCGTC